AAAGAGTGTTTGTGTGTGGGTATGGCGGTGGGATGTGTGTGTGTGCATGTGCATGTGAGACGTAGAGGAAGTAAAGTGCTGCAGATGTGAAGTTAGCAAATTCTTTATCCAATGACTACATTCTAGCTAAAAGTGCTGACAGTTTATGCCCTGGCTTGATATTAATAAGAATTTCTTGACATTCACTGCAAGTGGTTGGATGAATACCAGAGATATTATACAAAAGCAAATAAAAAACAGACTTATGTACATAGTTAGACAAGGCTGACGCGCAGATTATTTAGCTGTCACTTTTAAAGTCAGTGAAGTTATAAGAGCAGTTATAAGAACAACAGTAAAAATCAGACAGTAGACTGTACAGTGGGGGAAAAATATATGGAAATAAGGAAAAAAAAAATTACTCCTAACTACTGGGAGTAATAGTCACAGTTGTAACTCAAATTTTTCAAAATTTTATATGGAGGACAAAATGGACAAGAAGTCCATATATATATATATATGTATATATATATTAAAATATCCAGATATTGTTCTGCCCTAGCATCTTATAAAAGAAAGTTTAGGGACATGGGGAGTTCATGGTTTTACAAATCTGGATTTCTGTGAGTACCGTGCCTCAGTATAAGGGGTCTTGTTTAACATAGTGTACAGCCATATAGCTCTATCCACTTCTACCATACAGTATGTAGTAAGAATACACTGAATTATTAACAGCACTGCTGCCTGTCTGGAATTGCAGTACACTTGTATTTATATATATTTTTATAGCACTGCTGTCTGTCTGGAATTGCAGTACATTTGTATTTATATATTTTTTTGAACTAGTGACTCTTTAGGTTTCAATATCTATATAAGGTAAGGCAACCATAAGTTTATAACAAAACCAAGAAAGTGAAGTGCTTCAAACACAGAATGACTGTCTCTTATCTCTTTTACAGCCACTCTCCATTTCTTTTCCAATGTTCTCTTCAGTAGTACAGTCACATGTACAAATGGATTTCGTCCTGCAGACTCTTAAGAGCACTCCAATTTAACACACAAAGAAGAAAGAAAGAACGACTCAATGTGCCAGTGGAGTCAGGGACAACTGTACGCAGGCTACAGTCATTAAGACATTCTTTTATTAAACTAAAAAGCTCTCATGAGGAGTATGGAGTTCAGTTCTTTAGTAACGTAGCCACGGTGACGAGCCAGCGTGTCAGTCTCCCCTCTCCACCAGTGAACAAATGGCTGCGCTTGCGATTTATAGCCAGCCAGACACCAAAACAAAGCCTTCATCAAACTGGCCTGATAATAAAAAACAGAGCAGCATACACTAAGTTGTTTTCTATCAATGCAGCAGCAGTGGGCTTTAAAATGCACTCTCAGCAGAGAAGAGGCAAACAAAGTCAAAGTGCGGCTGACTGATTGTTGTACAAGTGAAAATCTGCAACTTTCTCAATCCTAAACCTAGAGGATTAAAGTCTGTCACTGTTCACTGGGAAAATAAGAAAAGAAAGCCCGAATCAACTATGAACACAAGAATATAGAGTAAAAAAACTGCAAACACAACATTACTGCAACAAGATGGTAACATTTTTAAATGTTTTGTTTTAGAGTGATTTCTAGTCTAGCAATAGAGTACAAAACAAAATGTTTGTACTCTATGTACAGTCTTCTTCAATATGCCCCTTTTTCATCCATTTCACTTATTATGTTCTTTTAAAGCAAAGCAAGACTTCACAGCAAACAAAAACTCTGGCCAAGATTTTGTGGAGTACCGTAATTAGAAGGACTAATAAATACTGTATGTCTCTGTGGAATTTCAGACATGTCAAACATCTCAGCTCTTGTGCTAGAAAACTGACCTAAACCTTATAATCGAAATATGACCACAAACACACAGTTGTTTTGCACTTGAATCTGTCAGAAGAGTGAAAGCTCTTTCAGTTGGAAGCTGTTCAGTGGCGCAGACAGAAAAGGGAGAACTGTGAAGATCTGTCTTGACCTAAGGGTTAGGCACTCAAGAAACCTGGATATGAACTGAAGAACTTTTACCCAATACTCTAATGACGGCTCAATACATATTCAGCAATAACACAATCATCTGAGTTGTAAGCCGCTCTACACACTTCAACTACAGTAAACAAAGATTTCCCATGCAGGCCAAACAATAGAACTACAATGCAACAAGATCCCAAATGACGCAATAGTTATGCAATAACCAACCCACACATACAAAAATAAACTGGGCACATTAATATTCATACTAATTTACATTTACAGAGTAGGGGTGTGTATTGTCAAGAATCTGGCAATATGATACGTTTTATGATACGGGGCAACAATAGCATATATTGTGATATACAGTACTGCGATACTATAGGTACGACGGTATATTGAGTTTTTAAAAGCATTTAATTGTAGGAAAACTGTCAGCATAGTAAACAAATAACAGTGTGACATGTTTAACATCAAAATTGGAACAGAGAGATCTAGATTTGTAATCACTAAATAATCATTCTCATCTAAACACACTCTCTCTCTCTTTCTTTCTCTCTCTCTCTGACGATGAAAGCCCTAATCCATAGCATTCTCCCTTCTTCTCCAACATTCACCAGCTGAGACCACCCCCTGCAAGCTGTCACCAGGCAGAAGGGAGCACATATCACCCCTCAGGTGGCCAACTCAAGCACGATGGAAAAGTGAAGGGATGAGGGGGTTGGGGATGTTAGAGGCGAAGCGAGAACGTAGAACGTAGAAAACCAAAAAAAACTATAAAAAACATGACGGCCTCTAGGCACTGACAGGAATCCAACAAAAATGTACAGCCTATGGTTTGACTTTGTGCAATCTTATGCAACGCTCACTACACAGGGCTTAGCAGGAGCCAAAGAGTTGCTGCTGTTGTAGAAACAACCTACATATGTTGTACAATGGTTCATGGCTACATTTCCAAGCAAAATTCCTCTTCTTGCTTCTGCTTCAAATTTGCTCATTGGCACATAACTCGTCTGTGGCACGGATGCAAACACAGAAGGAATAAAGGAAAGGAGCCCAGCGAACAGGTGGAGGATACGGGACATAATGTGACTGAGCTCAGACTGCGTCTTCTCTTTGGAGTGGTGTGGAGTCCTCAGTCAATCAACAGCTGGCAGCAGATTAAATACCGATCCAGGACAGGACAATCAATAATATTTACTCTGCTGGCAAATGACGTGATAATCATTTAAGCCATTAGGGGTTAATTGAAAATGAAAACACTCGTCACAGCGTGGATGCATTGCAATGAAGTAACTGATTATACATCTTCCTAATGCATCTATCTGCTGTCATTATGCAACTACTGTGTACGTTGGCTCTCTGTTGACAGGAGGACCAATGAGGTTCTTCGATGGCCTTAAGCGACTTGACCTGTTTACAGTCTCCTGTTTAACTGGAAGTTGGAAAGCTGTACACCGCCAGAATTGCAAATGCCTGCACAAATAAGACAAAGAGTCTTGGGCTGATGCTGAGAAAACCAGTCAAAAACAGATGCACTGAGTTTCTCCTGGGAAATTACTTATTTTCTTCTACTAGAACCAGAATGCATCTATGTTGTATGCGTGCGTATGGCGTCGATGTGTTTGCTGCTCTATGACACGCGAAAAAGTCAAAGATAATTTTTGTGTTGTGTTAAACACTGAATGGCACTCAATGTCTGCTGGTAGTTGAATATAGTTGTTTTTTTAAGTGTCTCACTTTTAAAAATGATGGTGAGCGATCTGCAGCTATGAAGAAAAAAATGAAGTGTCTCACTTTTAAAAGCGATCTGCAGCTATGAAGAAAAAAATTTAAAAAATGTAAAAGTTTGGCAGAAAAGTCCAGCACCCTTCACTAGACGAGTAGTGAAACCCATGGAGACTTTGCCCTTGAGTGAGGTTGTGAGAAAAAGTATTTGTCAAAAGTATTTACCTGGCAAGATAAGCAAAACAAACTGTCCACATATTCCTCTTCGTGAAGCAACTCACTTCCTCCCACTCAATTTTGATGTGATAAACTTTTAAAGCAGAAAAAAAAATCATCTAAAATGTCATCTTTCAGTGATGTGTGAAACAAATAAACACCTCACTTCGTCTTCTGCCTCTGATACATGTCTTTTGTGACAAACTGTTATGCACTTGGACACGTCTTTACAGATTACATCCAGAGAGTGATGTCATGATGTCAGTGGTTGTGAACATTTCCAAACATGCTGAATACTACAGTACCTCTCTAGAAATAATTAGAGGGGAGTATACTGTCTAGACTGATGCTTTTGTGGTTTCAGTGTCAGCATGTGGTTGATTTGTTTGTTGTGCCGTTACAGGACAAATAAACATATTGTACAAAAGTAAACAACAGTCTATGTATAAGGAAAAATAATTTGCCATTGAAAGAGAGCCAATACCTGGCCCCACTTTAATAATGTACCAGTCCAAAACTGCACTTGGGAAATCAAAGAGCTCCTCACACACACAGACTTTCTTTCAAAGTGGATTGTGAAACATTAAGTCATAGTGTGAGTTTTCCTCTTATATTGTTGTAGACATTGCACAATGGTAAAAAGAAAAGGCTGTGTGTTTATACCACCAAAAATAAAATCAGTTTTACTTTTACATTTCGGTTTTCAGACAGCAGTACGTCGGATACTAAAGCTCATGACGCATTACTTAAGCCATTTTAAACACAAAGGAATTTTCAATTTTGCCAAACAAATCTGATTTGCCGTTCAGTGCAGACTGTTTACTTGGAAGAAGTACAAGTAAACAGTATTACACTCTGTTGTCTTAGACACTGACAGACAACTCTGAGTTCATCTTTTTGCTTGTTCTTTATTTTGAAAAACATGTATTTGTTGTTGGTTTTAAGGATGATGAACAGAAGAATCTGATCAAACCCAAAGAAAACTTTTTTTCTCTATTCCGAATAACAAACAGATGGAGTAGCCTTAGATTAGAGTCAGTGTTTGTTAAGAACATAACCAGATACAAACTTATTATTAACTAATGCTTGTATAAAGGTTTCTGTTTAGGAGCTCCTACACAACATTAAATTACACTACATTTTCTTTCAAAACAAATGTCCTTTCAAGCACCATATTCTTTAGGCTTTCATTTATAGCAAGTACTTTATATATTTTAATGCAATGCATTAGGTGTAGTACAGTAGTGTAGTAGTATAGTTTTGAGCAAGTATATTTAATAAATACAATACGTTGGCCTTTTACAGTTCAAGTACTAACTGCTACATCCATACAATACTGTATGTTTCACTTGACCACGTTGCATTGAAAGTTTGACAGAAAAAGTATAGATCTGTTACAACTGATACCTCGTACTTGTAGAAAAAAGTGGCTCAATTCTGAGAATAGTTCTGTTTCAGGCAAGTTGGAAACCAAACTCACTAGTCTGTCTTGCCTGTTAGTCAGACTAAAATTAGCTCTGGCTGTAGAAGAGCTCATTAGACTATGTCTGGACACTTGTCAATGAACCAAGCCTAGTGGAGCTCTTCTTTTCCTTCACAAACTAAGACAAGCTCTAACTTGGGACAAAAGGTAAAGGACAGTGACATCTGAATATATAGCCCGCTGTCCCACTGTGTTCAGAAATAAGTGTGTGAGTGACTCAGCTGCTACTGAGGACTATATGAAGTCACGGAAGCTGCGTATAACAACAAATTAATGAATGAACCCACAAATGAGCCCATTCTTTAGAGCCCAGCGCCTTCTGGTTATAAAACATTTGGGAGGGGCAGAAAAGTGGTGCGTAAACAGTAGAAAGGCAAACACACTGAGAACTAACCAGTACATGTGTCACCCAGGACTGCAGGGCTCATTAACAGTCACTCAGTAACCGGGGAGGCTAACAGCCTATAACATTAACAACAGTCAGGGGAATGTATATATATCAGCCAGTCTACAGATAAGCTAAAAGCAGCTGTGCTGTCAGTGGAGATTGGAGGTTATATAATCAAGACCAACATCGATACAACAGCATATAGACATAGACATAACTTGGTCCAGGTTTAAATTTACAATGCACAAAAAAAATGTAATGCAAAGATAGCAAACTTGATTTAGATTCCTCGAGGACTCGTCTTGACAGCAACACCGCAGTAATTTTTACCTCCGCTTTTTAATTTTATGAGCCACTCAAAGAACGAGGTTCTATGTTTTTATGTCTGCCTTCAAGGATTTTTGTCCTGTCTTCCAGAGATCAAACAGGCAGCGGGGGGGTGTGTTCCAGTGGACACACCGACAGTGAGCCACTGCCGTTTGACAGTTTGCATCACAGCCATAATAAAACAAAATTGAGTAATTAGATACTTACTTTCACGGAGAGCAAGAACAAACTAATACCTGAAATATTGGGTATAAAGAAGTAATGGATCATTTATGAGTCAGATTACACTAACGGGAGGCACCAGGGCCAGATTAGGAGCCTCACTGCTAATATGAACCAAACGGGCTTCCAGATCCCAGCCTGTCACAGAGAAACACCAGAGACGTGCGGTAAATGCTGGTCAGAGATTTCCATTTTTGGACTTTTTAACAAGCTAGGCACAAAGATTGACATCTCTGTGATGTTTTGAAGAAGACTATCATATGCTATGGTGATGTTTGCATCACTGAGATAAAAAATGAATTTAAAAATTTGATGGTTTCATCTAGTCTATTCTGATCTTTTGAGGGGGTTATATATGCATACTTGTTCTTTTCTGTATATATTGCTTTTTCCTATTGTTTCCTTGTTGTGAACCATTTCATCGAAATTAGTTTTTGATGTAAATCAAAATGACAAAGTCCCTCTTACTCTTTTTCTCTTATCTCCTTTTTTTTGGTACACTGTGGGAAAAATGACACCACTATTGACAAATGTATGCAAATGTCTCACTTAACCTTTACTGCTAGACTTGTGAAACCAGTTTTTTTCTTCTTCACGCTTCCAAACTATTACTAAACCAATCTCGGGAATAAATCTAGGAGCATAGATCTGTAGTAGGAAAGGGACTCGCACACCCAGCAGCAGAAAAGTTAACATAAATAGACAAAAATTCTGAAAAGACATTCTTCGAGATGGTGTGGTTAGCATTGCATTTATCGAATATTTCATCACTCACAATATGGGAAATGTTATATATATTTCACACTGGCAATTGCGATTTTTCTATCCCATCCCTGTGAAATATTACTTATCTCAAACCACAAACATGCTTTTTTAAACATGTTTGTAATCTAAATTCCCATACGTGGATGATCTCTAACTGCTACAGACCCTTAATGATTAAGATAATAGCATCATCAGCAAACTGCAATAACAAATTTATTCAACAGCAACGTACTCCATAGAAAATGCACAACTTTTGTTTCAGATATGGTGTCTTTAGGAAATAATGTGAATTTAGAAAATCTGACACATGCTGAAACAAGCCACTGTCGTTGTCAAAATTGTTTCATATGCCCAAAAAGGAGTTTTTGTGTAGAATCTATTTTTCGAATCCACTCTCTGTTTATGTCCACAACTTGTAACGAAGTGACTCCAGTGTCCATTTCTTGTTTACAGTCTCTGTACTCAGTACTCTGTGAGCCTGTGATGGTGGCAGGTACAGTAATACTGGAGCATGTTGCTGTACGTGATGTTACAGGAGTGCAGCCGCAGGTCATAACACTTAACTGCACCAAACGGACAACACCCATATCCTCTACGAATTCTAAGGAATATTTGCGATTTTTATGTCAATAGACATAATAGTCTGTTGAGGACACCTTCGCTAATGAAGTTAAGTTAGATGAAAACATTTGAATCTCAAAACAAATGCTTTTGTCGAGGTTTTCGAGAAGAAATGTGACGCAGTTAACCTCACCTGTACGTTTTTTGTGAGCCAAAACCGGGTATGTTGCCGATTAAATGACCTTTTCTCAATAAAATTTAACTAAACTCATTTTCATTAACTAATAGAAATTTCAACATGTATTTTTTTTGCTGACGCTGTGTATAACCGTTCGAAAATTCAAATTAACGGTTTTCAGTTAAACCACCTGCGCGTGCATGATTAAGTAAAAAAAAGAACTCAGGTGCGCGTTCACTTGTTTCTCCTCAACCGAAAGTGACAAACACGATGTGAAAAGCAATAATGGTCACACTAATCTCATTATTTTGTTTGTAAGGTGACTAAAAGTTCGTTATTTTTATTTTCGTCCTAACAACTTAACATAATTCTTCTTTAAACAATATAGTTTTCATGTAAGCACATTCTACTCACCGACGTGTCTCAGCGCCCGCCGTCCACGTGCAGACGCCGCAGATCCGTGCGTTAATTTTCGTCCAGCTCCTGTCACACTTTACTCTCCTTTCATTGCAGCTTCTTCCGTGTTATTTGTTGCCCACACCGACTCAGTGGGTACATTTCAAGTCCAATATCTTCTTCCGTGTCACAGTTGTTGGTTTGTGAGCAGTAGTCGGTGGAGAGTTTGTTTTTTTTTTTCCTGCTGCCTGTTTCTACGGAGAGACCGTGCGTCTGGCTGTGCCTATGCGCACGAATGGAAAACCAGTAGCAGGTTCCCAGCCCTTACACACACACACAGTCAGAGACACAAACCGAGCCAATCACGTACACTGTCACAGCTCCACGTCTGCACACTGGGATGGTCTCCTGCGAAGAGACCATAAGCATATCCAGACTTAATGGGAACCAGAGTAATGATAAAGTTACTTGTTGTTTTTCTGTACAATGTGACGCAGGGGCGCTCGAACGTTTTTCCCGGATAACCCAGGGACCCACGTCTGCGCCTGTAATGGCACATAATATTGCATAAACAAATGACTGTGTAAAAATGCATTAATTGAGTTAGTAATGTTATTTAATCAAGACTAATTTAATCAAAATAATATTTTTTCATACATATATTTTTGAGAGACACCAACCATAATCAATTTCCTATACATCCTACAGAAACGTCCTACAGTAATCGGGAGGGACACACAAAGCATTCAATATTCACATATATTTTTTTGAAAGTTCCATTTTAAAAGTACTATTGAAAATAGCTAAAAGTAAAGCTAAAAACAGACCAAAAAGATATGCCACTTGGGTCACAGGGGGCCACTCGGGTCACAGGGGGGCGCTGAAGACACAAATGTCTGTCGCACTTTTTCTTTTGTCGGGTGAAAGGGGGCGCTGAAGACACAAATGTCTGTCTGCTGTTGTTTGTCTTCTGTTCCAGCAACGTACATGAAATGTTTATGTCTAATTACGGAATGTTGATTTATCTGCATAATCATGATTAATCATGAATAATTACAATGACAATTAAATTATGCCACTAGTGCCCTGTGAGTGATGAGACGTCCTGCAGATGTCCTGCAAACTCAAACACCACAGAACTCGGTCCCTTGATGTCTTTAGAGTTGTTACATACAAAATGATGGGTTTACCCAATCTGGAGAAGGCCGTCTTTGATTGAGTTCCCAATCTATTTTCGAACTCCCAGTCAGCACTAAGTGTACAAAGCGGTCTTACTTGTTTTAGCTATCTATTAGGGCAGGTCCCTGCTTGAAGTGGTCTGACTATAAATCTCTATGATGACTCAATCTTCATGTGTCTGTGATTGTAGGTTTTCCCACCGTATGTCAACAATGCAACAGTAACTAGGACATTCCCCAAAGTCGTCCTAAAAACTGAGTCAGAGTCACATGTGGGAACAGACTTTCTCCACCTGAAACTTCTCTTTTTATCCCAGCAGCCCAGCCTTGGATGTTTACAACTGGTCTAAACTACCAGCAGCTGCTGACCACCACCTTTTGTTTCTATAGCCATGCCAACAGAAATCTGTTCCCTGGGAATCCACACACACACTGAGAAGCAGAGAAACTTTGTGTTTGTGTGTGTTAGTTGTGTCTGTCCGACTGCAAAATATGCCAAATTTCTTTTGCAACCTTAACTCCAGTTAGATTTTACTTCCTCTTTTAAAAACCCTATTCTTCATTTTTGAACAGGCTTGGACACTGACCACCTCCCATGAGATGGTTCAAGTTGAATATGATTTCTTTCTCTGATTTCTTCACAAATGTCACAATCCACACAAGTGGAGCTGGAGAAAAATGAGGAGTGTTTGCAAGTCATCAATATTTGTCACGAAATAACGAAAAAACAGGCGGGCAGTTTGCGCCACGGCAGATGTCCTTGGGTATGTAGAGAAATCCATGGTATTAAATAAAGCATGATAAAGGAGGAGGAAATCCACTCCAGGCAGATGAACGTGTGTGTGGTAATCAGAGATGAATGATTTTCATTTGGAGTTGGTCTGGTTTCACATGTCCGTGCTACATCTGCTGTAATATCCCAGTAAGGTGTGAACAGCTCAGAGGATCGATTGTATCAATTAGTGACTCCAGTTCAGTTCTACACCGCAACATCTACAGCTCATTGACAAATGAGTCTTCAAACCAAAACAAAAGTTCAAACTCGGCAGACAGAAGGGCAATAATCAAAAATGAATGTTCCTCCTTTCTTCAGCCCCTGAAGCTTCTTCTAGATCACATTACAGTCTGTCTGGGTGTGAGTCCGTGCTGCTGGACCCTCTGCTCCCACATGTGGAAATAGTTCATTTTGAAAATTTAGTGCTCGAAGGTGTTTACAAAGTCTTCAGAGACAGTTTTTGGTAACGCTCACCTTCATAGGAACTGATGTGAGTCACACACACACACTCCTCTGTTGACGTGCAGATTTGGATCTGAATGGAAGGAATGTTCTGGATCAATGTATGTGAGGCCACTGGGAATGTCACAGAAAGTTGCTGGATACAGAGCAAGAGAGTACTTTCACTTTAACACTGTAGAAATACTGGTTGTATCTACATGAGTAAACACGCACACACGCACACACACACG